TTAACGTTGGTTATTGAAATGACGAAAATGCATCAAAAAACATACATCCAAACACTCCCTAATCTTACTTGGTACTCTAAACTGTTTTGAAAACGTATACAATAAAAAAATGACTTATATGAATTAGCATCTAAAACACTAGTAACGATATTAATTAGTTGTCTTATTTGTACGTAGCCTCTATGTTATGTTATGTTGTGGAAGTCTTTTTACTCTTGATCATAAAATCTCATACGCAATAATTAAAAGGAATAAAAACCAACATGTTTTGAATTTAAAAAGTATAAAACTCCAATGGAACATTTTGATGTTTTGTATATAACTCATAATTAAAATGTTAAAAGTTTGAATTTCATATATAAAAAATAATAGAAAAAAAGGGTTTTTAGAGTTGGCGTCAAAAGAAATGATGACTCTGACAACAAAACCTTTTCCTCAAATTCATCATGTTTACTATTAAAAAATCATTCTTCTTTTTATTTTTTTTGGACAAATTACATCAAACCAAGGTATTTTATTTTGGATAACAGTATCTTTAAAACTTACATTTTGGTATTTAAGATGTAAAGTTTTAAACATTTAAGTATTCTAGATAACCGATTGAAGACTAATTTTAGATTAAAAAAATTCATGTCACTAACCACGTCAACAAATAATACTGAGTTGAATATAACATTATTCGCTACATCAGCATGATAACTAGTTAATGTTTCAACCAGTTACCCGGATACTTAAATGTTTACATCTTAGGTATCAAAGTTGAAGTTTTAAAAATACTTTACCCAAAATGAAAATCAAGTTAAAATACGTTACTGTTTAATGCAATTTTTTTTTTATATATTTATGGTTTTCAGGTCAGTTTATATGTACTGACTAATCAATTGGATGAACACGAATGGTCTGTAATTATCGTAGATGAACCTCCATAGTATTAAAGTATTTGAGAGTGCCTAAATTCAACTACATCCTCTTGAGACTTAATCAATGTCATAATAAATGATATTGTAACATTTAATAAAACTAAATACAAGATTCAATTTTCATGATTAAAATATTAAACCAGATTTTGATAAATAACTAAAGAGTTGGTGAAAGAAAACTAATCTTAATGATAAATAATTATCTAATCATCTTTTTGGTTTCTTATATAGAAAACACGTTTAAATCTTTAATTATTAAAAAAATTGGGAATTGTTTTTTGAATTATTACATCACATATTATTTTTTTATATCATCTCATATTAAAATTTAAAATATTGATTAACATATATTTGTTTTGTGAATTTTTTTAATTTATTTATGAAACAAAAGTTATACTTTAAAAAGTTCCACAAGTATTGTATTGAATAAACACATTTTGAACCAAATATATGTTAATCAATATATTAAATGTTGATTTTTAGATGTGAAACAATACCTTAAAAATAAAAGTTTACACATGTATCATAATATATATATATATATATATATGATTCTCAAATAATTAAATCCTTTTAAAAAGTTATATATCATTTTTGTTTTAAATTTTACTTATATGATGCACTTTTTGTTCCTTATTAATTATCTCTATTTTTAATGCTAAATTATATTTCTTAAAATAATCAAAATATTATTTATATTGCCACGGATTTTCCAATAATTCATCATTCATTGGTTTGAGTTTCGACTCCAAAGGTCAAAAGTGACTGAAGGTTCTAGGTTCAAATCGAATGAGGAGATTTAAATGTGGTGACTCTGGACTACTCGCAAAGCAGGTGATCGTCCTGATATTAGTCGGCTCGTAAAGCGGGTTTGATATCCAGGTTAATAAAAAAAATTAACAATAATACTAATTGACCATTTTAATATAGTTTTTCGGTTTTCATACTTTTTTTATTAAACTGGATATCCAACACGCTGTGCGAGCCGAATAATCCCAAGACGACCACCTGCTTTGCAGATAGCCCGGAGTCACCGTATTTGAACCTCCGTGGCCACAAGAGAATTTTTATTCCTCCTTAGATTTGAACCTGAGACCTCCAGGTACTTTTGATCTTTGGAGCCAAGCTCAAACCAATCAGACACCACCTTTATGGTTTGGTTTTCATATTTTTCTTAAAGACAAATATATTTATAGGAAATTATAAAAAGTAAAAATATTGTGTCTATATAGTCAAATACACACAATATCACGTATTTTAGATTAATTTTCATTTTAACAAATATGAAAAGTGAATAAAATTTAAATTTAGTTATTATTTAATGTGTAAAAAAGCAGTTGTATTAATATATACTAAAAGGATACTCGCGTAATGTAGCGAGATAAATCTCGATTTTAATGTTTAGTTTTTATTTTGTCTCTATTGATATAATACGATTTTATGTGGTTTTGAGAAAGCAATAATGTTTTTATTTTTGAATGAAATATAAATTTGAAGATAAGATAAAAATTTTAAAAAAATAAATCGATATTAGTATCAAATTAATTATTTAATAGTTAACGTTTTTTTGGTGTAAATTCTTTAATTATATTTTTTTATTATAGTTTAATTTAAATTTAGTAAATACGTAATTTATTTTTGGTTTAATAATAATTTTTTATAAAGATAATAATTAAACATTATGTTAAACTTAATGATTATCTTAATTATATTTTAAATTTTCTATATTTAAAATGAATGTTTATTTTGTATTTGAGTATATTTATTTGTAGTTAGTTACACAAATTTAAAAATAGAGCTTTAATAAGTTATTCCTACGTAAAAATACTTATAATCTTGAATTTTAAGTAATATACATCATTAAATAATATTTTATGTATAAAAATGATTTTTAAGAATTTTTATCAAAAACTTTATAATATAGTATAAGATATATATACCCCACAAAGAGTAAAGGGTTCATTCTGACAGTCAAACAAAAGATTGGAATTTTTTGCTTTGGGTTTAAGGGTATTCATACAATTTTTTATTTTTAAATGTTTTTATTTTTGTAAAATAAATACAATTATTATTATCTTTTTACATAATTAAAAATTATTTCATATTCGAGATATTTTGGTGGAATCATATGTTTTAAACTGTTTTTTCACATAATAACTGCCGGAAAAAAAAATTAAAAAATCCAATAATTTTTTTTCTTTTTAATAATTTAGTTTTTAAAATTTTGAATAAGTAAACCATCAAATTTTTAAAAATTGGTTACATATATAATTTTACTAAACGTGACTAGTTTATCAGCTATTATCTAGTTTATTAGCCAACAACTAATTTATCAATCATTTTGCCAAACATAGGCCCTATATGTAGTTCCAAAATGCATGTTTTATACAATTTATTTTGAAAACAATCATTTTGGAACTTCATTTGCATCATTTTTTTTATATGTTTTCAATTTTCAATTTATCTATTTACTAATTAGCAAATATAAAAGATACTTAGCTCACATTTATCATAAATTAAAGACAATTATAAAATTATTTAAAAAACGACAAATGTAAAGTTAAACCTATGCAGTGATTTATGTATCATTTTGTGCTAAAAAGATAGTTACCCATGCAAGTGTTTAAGAGATGGTTACGACTTTCAAGACAGACATATCTGATACTCATATGTTAGAGAAATATCTTCTACGAAAAAACCTGCTAAAAATATAGACAGGATTTGTTTTATTAAAAACATGCAAAAATAAATTACTTTCTTTATTAAAATGTTTGTACACACATTAGCAACAACAATCTAAACCACAAGGATGGTGTCTGATTGGTTTAACCTTAGCTTCAAAGGTCAAAAGTGTCTAAAGGTCCAATGTTAAAATCCAAGGAGGAATAAAAATATTCTTGTGGGCATGAAGGTTCAAATGCGGTGACTTCGGGCTAACCGTGAAGTAGGTGGTTGCTCTGGAATTATTAATCTAAAAATTATTTTTTATAAAGTATTTTATTAATAATTCAAAATTTATTTTTTATAAAGTATTTTATTAATAAATATTTTTTATAAAGTATTTTATTAATAATTATTTTTTATAAAATATTTTATTAATAAATCTTAAAAACATATTATTGAGTAGTTAGATATTTACTAATAATTTTTAAAAAATATTATACTAATTGATGGTTAAATATTTTATTAATAATTTTTTAAAAAGAATATTAGTTAATAACCAAATATATAGTGAAAATATATATTATTTATAATAATTAATAACAACAAATAATTAGCGCATAATTGAAAAAAACTAGCCAAAAGTTTTAGTAGCTTGTTGAAATGCTGGGAATTGAAATTAGCTTTTTATAATGATTAAATGTTCAAAACTCATTAAAGATAGGAAAAGCGTCAGTTTCATTTGTCATACACACACACATACACTTAAAAAAAAATCAAGTCTCAAACTTTAGAAGTAACGACGATTCCACAAAGAGAGTGAGGGGGACTTCAAATGAAAATATGATCAAAATATCTTATTTAGTCATTGTTCTCGTTTAAACCCATCATATATTTACTTATTTAAAATATATTTTGTAAATAACTAAAAATTAAAAAGTCAAATAGCACATGCTCGCCGTCATAAGCTTAATGTGACATCAAAGATACATCTTTTAAAAATAAACATTACAAATGTAAAAATACATGTGTTAAAATATTATTTAAAATGATTATTAAAAAACTTTGTCATAAAATTCTTGTCCTCCTTTTGGGAAAAAAAAAACCCCAATATTCCATCTGTGATGCCCAATAAATTAAAAGAAAATTATTACAAAATACCAAACACATTTATATCCACCAAAAAAAAATTTAATTTAATGTATATATTTCCATTTTTATATTTTTCCTCATCTACTCTCCTTGCTTTCTTTAAAGAGTTGTCATAAATAAAGAGCTCATAACTCTCTCTTCCTTCCATGCTACTACCCCTTCTTAATTTATTCTCCCTATATAAATATAAATATATATATATATATATATATATTTCAAGGGGTAGTTTTGGACATTTCACATCCTACCAAAAATTAAATATTTTCATCAGATCCTCCTCCTTTTGGCACAAGTAGGTGAATCATCAGTTTTATAGCTCAAGATTGCAGCCTCAAGCACACCTATTGGACTTTCTGGCAATGATGTCATTTTACCACTCCTAAAGCCCATTGTACAACCCTTTTTCATCATTTCTGCACATTTAAGAACCCTCTCCTGCAAATAACCCATCCATCATTTTTACTGAAAACAATATGTATATATAAATAAAATGTACAACCCCACAATGCACAGCCTACTACCTTATTTGCATGTTGAAAGATGGCAGATGTTTCAAGTTTCTCAACTCCAATTCCAACTACAGAAATTGCCACTGCTGCTGCAACCTCAGAGGGTCTAAATTCCAAGAACTCAATCCCTGCATTGTGCAATTACCATTTTACCCTTGCGTTCATCATCAAGAAAGTGTAATTAATGAGCTTTTTTATGACCAAAAGTTATCTTCTTCTTTTTATTTATACCTCTGATTAAACTTAATACCAGTTGGGTGGTGGATTTGAAGATCAGAGATCTTGAATTGGTTTGACTTTGACCATTATCATCACCATGATCTTCATCATTAAGCTTCCCAATGAATGAATCAATGAAAGAAAATGGAGTCACTGATTGCATCCTCCAGTTCAATGTGTTCAACACAACCAACTCCATTCTTTGAATTGTTTTGGATTCAAAAACATATCTTGATTCACCAGCCTGCAAAATGCAAATTCAATCACATTTTTATGTTGAAAAAAAATATCAAAATCTTTACGACAAATCTTGATTCACCAGCCTGTAAATTCAATCAATCACATTTTTAGTTGCAAAAAGTCAAAATCTTAATGAAAATTGCAAATCTTGATTCACCA